CAGTCATTACAAGTCATCAGAAGGAAATAGCGGGAGTGAGTCACACAAGGCAATAAGAGCAGTCAGTCTTTACACGGGAATAAGAGCGGTTAGTCATGGATAGTGAGTAACCGGAGTGAGTTGCCAAAGGGAGTAACAGTAGTAACCTCCCGGACGTTAAATTGGTGTATAAAGTCCAAGTGCCAGGGCCTCGTAATGTGTAACTCTAGTGGACACTAACAATAAATGCAACAGTATTGGTGAAGTGCGAGTTTTTTTCAGTGTTCTCTCTCTCCTTGTGTGAGCAAGGCCCAGAAGTCGCCCTGAGACAGAATCTCATCCTACCTTCTGAGCAGTCGGAATCCTAAACGCCCGCCTATCCATATCCCCACCTTGTTTTCCCTGTTCAAAGTTCGTGGATTTCATCCAAGTCCACTGGCGCCCATAAAAATTCAAATTCAGAGCAATCCCACACCCTACCCTGAACCAGACAGCTACAAGGAAGCGGCGGATGAAAGTGCAGACCACAAAGGTGCGAACATGAAGGGCAGGTATAAGTGACGACCAACTCGTGAGGCTTGAAGTCTCACTGAGCGGTAAGGAAGAAGAGGAGGGCAGTAAGAAGTGGCGCCGAACGTGTAGGCGAACGGTAAGGACGGTAAGAAGTGGCGCCGAACGTGTAGGCGAAAGGTAAGAGCGGTAAGAATATAAAACACACAGTATATTATTTATGATTTGTGCCTCCATTCTTATCTCTCTACCCCATCACTCCTGATGTCTTTGTCATGCCATAAACAACCCCATTTTTCCACTGAATTATGGTCATAACATCTGCAAAAGTTTACAGGAACATAGCCCTCACAAATGTGGAAGGTTTATTGTATTTGTGAATGAAGAAAAATGTGTAAGGAATAAGGAATTCAATTCAAATGGTGTACCTTACACATCTAGAGAGTATCAACTTATTTTAAAAGCAGTCACTGAAGACAACATAGTCATGACAGATGACAAGAAAGCAGATTCCTTAATTGCCTATGAAGACAATCTTAAATTGACATGAAGCACAATAGATCACTGTAGGTCGCAGTGCAAGGGCTGAGAAGGCCCACCCCTTATACATTCATAAATTGACAAGTAGCAAAGAACCTAAACATTATAGGGCATCCATAGAATTTTATTTGTATAAGTAATAAAATAACATTTCTTTAAAATGAATGTGATTAGAACTGCAGGTTATGTGATTATTGCACAGCAATGTGGTGGGACTGGTTCAAGTTCTTATCAAAAAATGGTCATCAAAGGCCTTTTTGTATATTTAAACTGAAAATATTTAAAATCAGATTAGTGTTGCAAATATGACATATCTTTCATTAACTATAACTCCCACTGCATGAATTAATTTTATAATTTTAACCTGCACTAATGTTACTAATGTGCCTAATGTTGCACTATTTTGCAAATAAATACCATTACTTTTACATTAAATGTGTCTGTCAGTGCCACAGTACAAGGAGATATAAATCCCCCTTTTCTATACAATAATGGTTAATACAATCCTTAGTGGTTTTTAGTTTAACAATGACAAAGCTAACTGCACAAGATTTCAGTGCATTTGCTCTCCATGAAAACTTCAAACCTTACATTATCCTCGGTAGCAGTATGTAATAATTTATCATTAGTATGATTCCATGTTAAGTGGGTCCCTTGTAACCATGATATGGCACCTTCTTAGGTTGCCAATGGAGATGGCCTCCAGATATTGAGGGTGGCTATGAACACACAGAATAAGCAGTTACAGAGAGATGACTCTCCAGCATGGTGTTGGATGGGAGGTTAAAATCTCATCTCCATAAAAAACCAACAATTTATGATATACTATATACCATGTAGGGCAGTGCCATAGCTCAAGCGGTTAGTCACTGGCTTCCCACTGCGGCAGCCTGGGTTCAATCCCGGGTCTTGTCAAGAGGGATTTGTGGTGGACAAAGTGGCACTGGGGTAGGTTTTCTCCGAGTACTTCGGTTCCCCTGCCAATCTTCATTCCACCAATTGCTCCACAATCACCCTCACCTATCACCTGGGGCCGGTACAATAGGCAAGAAGTTGTCACAGTACAAGGGACTTATTCCCACCCCACTAGCAATAAAAAAAATAATATACTATGTACCTTAAGCAGGCCATTGTGAATGTGATAATGAACCTTTCAGTTCCACAGAAGGTAGAGAATTTAATAAGTAGCTGAATAACTAATAGCTTCCCCAAGGAGGATTCTTGTCCATGGAGTCAGTTACTGCATATCTCATATAAATAAAATGTAAATGTTCGTTTGTTCAAAGTCTTAAATCCCCGAAAGTTCTTCACCGATTGCTTTGAAATTTTGATACAACATTGCATTCGAATATGCGTGTGTTTTTATATACCTATTATATAGATGTCACATCTGTGACAGGTAAAAACATGTCACATGTTCGGAATCCAGGAGTCACTTCCATAGTAATGCTAGAACAGACCACTGCATAGGTAGCGACAATAGCGGTATTGTAGCCCCAACAGTTGGCCGTTACCTAGGAAGTAACAATAGCAATACTGTATTCCCAACATTGAGCCGTTGTGTCGAGAACATCGAATCTCCACGGTTACGACGAATACACGGAGCGTTCCCACAGAGACAATGCAATAACAATGGGTCGTTGCGTAGGAATCGCGGAATCAACAAAGCGGCGTTTTCCCAGTGATAGACAACAGAAGGCATTGTATAGCAACTGCTGAGGTATAAATAGCCCAGCTTCGACAAGGAGCAGTCAGTCTGAAATTAACCGCCAAAGGAGGCAGTCCGAAATTAACCGCTGAAGAAGTTAGTCTGGTATTGCGAGATGCAGTTGTAAATGACGGTAATACAACTAATGCTGGAAGACTAACCATTTTGCCATCTTCATATACAGGCAGTCCACATCATATGCATGAGTACGCTCAAGATGTAATTGCGTATGTTCGTCACTACGGGCGTCCAGACCTATTCATTACATTCACATGCAATCCAGCTTGGGACGATACACAACAGCTCTTACTTCCTGGGCAATCACCAGTGGATAGGCATGACATCACAGCATGCGTTTTGAGACAGAAGCTGAAATTGCTGATGGATTTCATGGTAAAACATGAAGTGTTTGGGTCTGTGCGCTGCTGGATGTACTCAGTGGATTGCCACACGCACATATACTAATCTGGCTCTATAACAAAATTACTTCAAACGAAATCGACAATGTAATATGCGCTGAAATACCCGATGCTGATGTCGATAAGTATTTGTATGAAGGAAAATTCCAATATGAACATGGATTTCACAGCAGAAATCTACAATGAAGCGTTGATAATGATTGAAGATTTGTGCTTAGAAATCGCGAACAAAGTTTTCAATCAATTGGGAATGCCATCACCGAATTGATCTGCTGCTGCTTTGTTCAATGTAGAATTGCATCGTGAACAAAATTACAACACGGGTGATCTTTTGTCGTATGTGCAATCAAACATTCCTAAGCTAACGCTTGAGCAAAAAGGCATTTTCGATCAAATAATGCAAACTGTCAATAATGGGGTTGCAGAAATCTTCCTCTTAGATGCGCCAGGAGGAACTGGTAAAACGTTCCTAATTAGATTGATTCTGGCAGCAATTCGATCCCAAAATGACATAGCCTTAGCTCTTGCATCGTCGGAATAGCTGCGACATTGCTACCAGGTGGAAGAACTGCTCATTCCGCTTTGAAATTGCCATTGAACATGCAATTCATTGAAACTCCCATGTGCAACATTTCCAAAGCATCAGGCATGGGAAAGGTACTGCAGAAATGTAAACTTACTGTTTGGGATGAATGCACAATGGCGCACAAAAAATCGCTCGAGGCTCTTCATCGATCATTGCAAGATCTGCGTGGAAACATCAGACCATTTGGGAATGCATTAATATTGCTTGCAGGAGATTTCAGGCAAACATTACCTGTAATTCCTCGATCGACACCAGCGGACAAAATAAATGCTTGCCTGAAATACTCTACTTTGTAGCGACACGTAAAGACGTTAAAATTAACTACAAATATGCGTGTCCAGCTGCAAAACGATCCATCAGCTGAGATATTCTCACATTAATTGCTGGAAATTGGGAACGGAAAGATGCTGGTTGATCTGACCTCAGGACGAATTTCATTGCCTCATAACCTCTGCAATTTAGTGACATCAAAAGAAGAATTGGTTGAAAAAGTATTTCCCAATAAACAAACCAATTATAAGAATCACGAGAGTGAACGAGTTATTCTTGCGGCCAAGAACAAAGACATCTACGAACTTAACAATATCATTCAGTCTAACATTCAATGCGAGGCAGTCACACACAAGTCCATCAACACTGTTGTGGAAGCAGATGAAGCGGTTAATTATCCAACAGAATTTTTTAACTCACTTGATCTGCCAGGGATGCCACTGCATGTACTGCAATTGAAAATAGGTGTGCCAATTATCATGTTGCGAAATATCAACCAGCCAAAGCTTTGCAACGGCACGCGGCTTGCAGTAAAAGCATTACTGAGCAATGTCGTAGAAGCAACAATCTTGACAGGGCCTTTCAAAGGTGAAGATGTCCTCATTCCTCGCATTCCTATGATTCCAACTGATGCGCCATTTCAATTTAAGAGATTGCAATTCCCAATTCGATTGGCATTTGCAATCACCATCAACAAAGCTCAGGGCCAATCTCTAGAATTGTGCGGTTTAGATCTAGACACGGATTGCTTCTCACATGGACAATTATATGTTGTATGTTCTAGAGTCGGCAAAAAAGACAATTTCTATATCTGCACAGACAGTGGAACAACAAAAAATATTGTATACCCACAAGCATTGTGAAATTAAACATATTAGAAACGTGCGCTTTCTCTTTTCTTTCTTTTCCATTTAACCAGACTGAGCCACAGCAATGCGTAGCTGGGTACCACTAGTGTTTCAATAAGTTCAGAACTCAGTATACATACCTTGTGTATTAACCAGTGTTACTGTATGCTGTACACCTGGTAGATGCATATGCACCTGGGAAAATAGTGGTCCCTCCACTATCCGGACTGGTGATGAGTCCCATTTAACTGTCTCTGCTTCTCTGTCTGGCAGAAACAAGTATGCACCACTGCGTTCTTGTCCTTGTCGTGCATGGTATCTATTAAACATACTTGTAATGTACTAGAAAACTGAAATTCATAGGTAAGGGAAGGGGAACCTTTTGCCTATTCATATTATTACCAACAACAATGACTTTCTACATATAAGGATAAAGACAGAATACAGACAAAATTGCAAGCATCAAGCTCTTGCTTATTGCAAAGTCACTTTTCTGGTCTTCTCAGTTTTTAGCTCATGCATATATAGGAGTATGTCTATTTTGTATCTATCAATATAGAACTGACCTACAGAAGTAACAAACTCAAAATGTCTGACAGTAATGATAATACTGATTCCTCAGAATATCTTAAAACCATTCTTAATGCAGTAAATGTGCATGTAATTCTGAAGCCAAAAATAATGTTATTTGCTATTCAAACATGACAGACCAAAAGTGGAAAGAATCCATGCAGGTTTTTTTCTGATAGAAATTTCCATCCACTGTTCCCTGAAACTATTTTTGACATTACATTCTCCAGAAGTTGATTGAAACACTTTTTTTTTGATGAATTAATGACACAAATAAACATGATGCATTAAGACTGAGTGTACATTCTGTGGACTTTAAGCTCAGAGAAAACTTACATTTACAAAAATGGGGGATATAAGCTAGATTCAATCTTGGATGAATAATACTGAGACATGACGGCTGAAAACAGGAAGAGTGAACCAAAAAGATGTAGCCATTGCTAGCCGCTGGTGCATTAAACATGTGTCTGTAGCAACGAATAAAAACACAACAGAGGAACTGTTAAATGCAGTGTTTTCTATGCAGCCCATGTAGAGGTTATATATTGAGGACCAAATGAACAAGCCAGTCAGTCAACAGTCAGTTGGAAATTGGGGTCAGCAGTTGGCAGTCTTCAGTTGCACTGTTTGCAGCTGCTGCCTTGCAATGACCAGTGAAGGCACAGAATACTTACTGCTTGCAGTAGTGATTTGTAGAGTGTGTAGATTAGAGAAAATGTTACAATTATTTGTAGTTATGAGTTACAAGCATTCAATAGATTCAATTATTAATCAAAACATTGTGTCTAGTCACTAACATGTGACAATATACTGACCAAAAAGATCAAATTAACATTTATTCTTTATAACTACATGTGATACAGGTTATAGGAGAGTTGGTTTAACACTTTATAATATAAAGGTGAAATAAATAATATTTTAAAAGTCAGCCATTATCGCTGAGAAAACACACTGCTTCTCCACTACAAGGATAAGTTCTGCTTATGGAAATAGTTGTTACTTATTTTGAAAATAAGATGAAACCAACAAATAAACTCTCAGTTATTGAATGTACGTAGGGTCACCGACACTAGGAATATATAAAAACATACAGCTGAGCCATTGGTACCTGATCTTAGTCCCTTTGAGGCTGAAATTACAAAGTTCAGAAGGTATAAATCACCAGGTAGTGAGCAATTTCTGGTAGAATTGATTCAAGCAGGAGGAGGAATGTCATGGTCTGAGCTCCATAAACTCATTAATTCTATTTGGAATAAGGAGTCTATTATTGTACCAATTTACAAGAAGGGTGATAAAACTTACTGCAGCAATTATTGTGGAATATCACTGTTATAAACTTAATACAAAATTGTATCCAATATCCTTCTCTCAAGGTTAAGTCCCTATATAGATTAAATTATTGGGAATCATCAGTGTGGGTTTTGATGTAAAAGATCAATTATTGATCAGATTTTTTGCATTGATCAGACAATGGAGAAAAAGATGTCAGTACAATGACACAGTATACCAGCTATTTATAGATGTCAAGAAAGCCTAGGATTCATTTAGGAGGGAAGCATTGTACATTCTCATAGAGTTTGGGGTACCCATGGAACTAGTTAGGCTAATTAAAATGTGTTTAAGTGAAACGTATACCAAAATCCATATGTGTAAACATTTGTCTGATAATTTTCCTAACCAAAACGATCTAAAACATGGAGATGCTGCATTGCCACTGCTTTTAAACTTTCCTTTAGAATGTACCATTAGGAAGGTTCAGAAAACTAGGTGGCAATGAAATTAAATAAGACACATCAGTTGCTGGTCTATGCTGATGACATGAATCTACTGGGAGATTAGATAACACAGATAACAAAAAGAAAAACAGAAAAACTTTAATCGACACCGGTAAGGTGGTTGGTCTAGAAGTAAACAGAGAGAAAACTAAGTATATGTTGCTGTCTCATCACCAGAACTTGGGGCAAAATCATGTCATAAAGATAGGTAACAGATGTTTTGAAAATGTGGCACAGTTCAGATATTTGGGAACAACAATAACAAATCAAAATTTGAGTCAGAAGAAACTAAAGAGAAGACTGAATCTGTGTAATGCTTGTTACCATTTATTCCAGAACCTTTTGCCTTCTCGTCTGCTGTCTAAAGACATAAAAATTAGAGTATACAAAACTATAATTTTACCTGTGGTTCTGTATGGGTGTGAAACTTGGTCTCTGACAATAGGGAAGGAACACGGACAGAGGGTGTTTGAGAAGAGGGTGCTGTGGAGAATATTGGGACTGAAAAGAGACGGAGTGACAGGAGTTTGGAGAAAACTGTATAATGAGAAGCTTTGTAACTTTTACTCTTCGCCAAGTATAATTAGAACGACAAAGTCAAGGAGGATGAGATGGACTGGGCATGCAGCACGAATACAAAGAAGAGGAATGCATATTGCATACTGGTGGAAAAACCAGAAGGAAAGGGACCACTAGGAAGACCAAGCCACAGGTGAATGGATAATATTAAAACACATCTTAGAGAGATAGGATGGGGTGGTATGGACTGTAGTGATCTGGCTCAGGATAGGGATCAGTGGAGGGCTCTTGCGAATATGGTAATGAACCTTTGGGTTCCATAAAGTGTTGGGAAGTTCTTGAGTAGCTGCAAAACTGGCAGCTTCTTAAGAATGGCTCAGCTGCATGAACTTAGTTAGTTACTGGAAAATGTTAATTTATTGAACATTAAAGCATACAGCATGCACAGTTATCCCTGCCATATAAAGGGTTATTATGCATTCTCATGATAAAATGTCATCAAAACCTGGCAACTGCAGTTCCACCACAGTGGGTCATTAATAGGCAGATAATATCCATAGGTTATGCTATCTGCTTTCACCTGCAAAATGAATCATTTTTTTTAAGAGGTAGAAGAACACTTTCCCTTTACCTTGCAAAGTCCAGGTGCAGAGGAACTGTGACACCAGTATCCTTTAGAGTGACAGCCTTCAAGAGCCCTTGCTCACTGAATGCTGCAGACAGATGATCATTGTGGATTGAGAACTCCTTTGCTTCATCCACCACTTCAATGTATTCAAAGCCTTCAATTCTTGGTGCAGAGCCCACAAAGTTCAGCAACTTGACATGTGACATAGCATTATCTCTGCAACACATTATCACATACAAGTTCTGAACTTCATATTCAATACAAATTATGAGGGCATTTCAGTAAAAGTGTATACAATCTCTGTGGGTTTAAAAACACAGCAAACTTAATTAGTATTCCAATTAACAACACTAAACTGTCATCAACTTCACCACATAATTAGCTTCTCTTATGATAATGTGTATGGGTCTAAATCACATCAATTTATTTAATGATAGGAATAACACACTTATACCAAAGTGAAATCTTATCAGCACTACAAAACATAAATATTGTGATATGATGCCTCAGAGCAGCAATCTGCCCATCTGCTGGGCGGGGCTTCACTGAGCAAGTTTCTGTGGCAACACAGAAGCTGCTGCTGGATGGCAAACTGTTTGAACATGTTTCCACAGCAACGAATACTACTGAAGAAGCAATGCATTGTATACAGAATCATGTCGATTCCTAGGCAACGCACAGAGAAATGTTTCTGTTCACATGGTATCAAACCTCCAAAGCACAGTAACAGTGAAGAACGTTATAACTCTACTGTTGAAGGAGGTGATCTCTATATGGCTTGAACAACACCTACCTCAGGAAGAGAACTGAATAACAGAAGACAGACTATAACAGAAGACAAAGAGAAGTCAGAAGAAGTAAAAAATGAAATCTTCATTTTATGTGGTGTAGTTACAGTAACCTTCAGTGTTATCATTGTTAGTAGTTACGTAGTGTTATAGTTACAGTAAAATTGTGTTAAAACTAACTGTAGTTCCACCTGGTATATTCAATAAATTGAGTCATCTAATCTGGAACCCATAAATTACTTGTCACATTACCAAAATACATGACAATATATATCCAAAACAGAAAAAATACATTCTTCAAAAAGTACCCTTTACTTTATTTACTGAAAAGATACAATAACCAGAAAAAAAAAAGAATACATTGTTTGACCTTGATTTACAGAGAATTATGAAGGACTCACATATTCTTAGCAGGAAGCACAGCATGCAGGAGGTATGTAGTCAAACCAAGTGAAGGTACATCAGCCATAAATGTGATGTCATAATGAGACTCTGCAATAACATCTGAAAACTCCTGGAATACTGGACTTGTCTGACTAGGAACAGAAATGCCAGCAGCATCTGTCACCTACAACAGATCCATTCAAATATCATGCTTTCCAGACTTAGGCAAATTTATTATCTACCTCACACTTGCCCTCCTAGACTCATATCACAACAAAAGTCTCACCATTCCCACCCACCAACCAACATCAAATGTAAGTAACACACACACCAATTTACATAACCCTAAAACCTAGAATAATACAAATAAACTAACACAACAGTATTATATATTCCAGATATCTAACAGCAATAGCAAATAACACACAAAAGAAAAAAAATCTCAACCAAAAGGGCTAAGAACAAAATTATGAACACCAACAATTAAATCTCCAACCATAACAAAAAGAGGGCACTAATTTTAACTTTAATTTCAATTTTAACCTAAAATTTAAATCTGAAGTTCAGAAATTTTAAACTTTATTGACAACTTTAATTGTTTCTTGCATCCTGTTGTGTATTAAATGAATATTAGAGTTAATTTTACCGACCACACAACACGTTTTTTATTTACTGTCACACTATATGTTTCGACCTCAAGAGGTCATCCTCAGGTGTACGAACACAGTTGCACAATCACACGCAATCACATTCGTTTTTCCACTTATTTTGATCCTGTATCCTCTTCAGGTCCACGCTCAAATAATATGTGTCAAGTTCTTCTTATAAAATATAATCAAATCAAGGAACANCAGGATACAGGATCAAAATAAGTGGAAAAACGAATGTGATTGCGTGTGATTGTGCAACTGTGTTCGTACACCTGAGGATGACCTCTTGAGGTCGAAACATATAGTGTGACAGTAAATAAAAAACGTGCTGTGTGGTTGGTAAAATTAACTCTAATATTTATTGACAACTGTTATGACCACAAACAGTGTACCAGCTTATGCATCAAATAAATGTACTTGATGATGTTCAAAAAATGACCAAAATATGTTGTACAAACGAACATTATAGTGCCAACATGTATAGTGCTAATATTGTGAATGAACAATATGTTATGAAACATCACTGAGGTGTTATGTAGAGATGATGGTAAACACAAAACTAATTCAACTACAATGAGATAGGATGTTATAATACAGAGTTCTGGAACAAGCTTATTTGGTTATGGCAAAGCCATATACCATAAGCAAATCACAAAGTTTTTCCCAGACAATGATGAAAATTAATGCTTAGATTCTGGGGAGGAAACAATTTCTAGTCCTTAGTTATCTGCAATCTTATTTCACAAACTCAGTTGAGAGTCTAAGAGTCAACAGGTTATAACATTCATCAATAATATGGGAAATCTTACAGCTTTGTCGCAGAAACCATGAAGTTACACACAGAAGCAGTTACAGTTCAAACACTGATTTCCTTATTAGAAAAATTCCTCTAAAATCACAATTTTATACTACTTTAATAGCACAAATATTCAACATTAAAAGATAAACTCATCAATCTTCAGCATAAGCCCACCTTAACATTACGGGTAGATACCCTGAGTGTGACCAATTCCTCTCGTCTCCATGTCAGAGAGTTATACAGCACAACTCTTTGTGACTCAAAACCTTCACCAAAAAATACAACAGCCTTCTCTGGGATACTGTAGTGCTGCTTCCGCATATTGTCCATGTCAAAGTATACAAATTCTGAATTGGGTTGATATGGCACCTGGAATACATGAAGGATCATGTTATTAAAAATTCATCTCGAGGAAACACTCAATGATACGGTGTCAGGGTTCAAAATCTGTATACTCACTTGTGGTGGAGATAACAAGAAATGTGCAGTTTGTTGCATCACATGCTGCATTCCATTGATGGCCTCCAACAACCTGCAAGAGTAATGGAAATAGAACGGAAAAGACTGTGGCCCTAACAGTGAAGTAAGCTACACATATAATGCAGTTGTCATGATTCACTGTTTTCCTTGATCAGTTAATATTCCTGTGGTATTTTTGGATGTCAACACAACAGATTTTCAAATAAACCAATTCAATGTAAGGTCTGAGGTTTTCACGGTGGTGACCATGAAGAATACCATCTTCTGGGATGTGGTGCCATGTAGATCTTGTGTACACCAGCGGTTTGGAGGAATATATTGCCTCCAACTTCAAGAGAAGATGGAGGCGATATGTTCCTCTGAAACATTTGTTTACACAAGATCTACATGGTGCCACATTCCAGAAGACGGCATTCTTCAAACCAATGCAATATCACTATACTAACATCAGTTTTACTTCGTGTCTGCTAAGCGGCCTCTGTAGTCTAGAGGTAACGTTCCCACCTCATGACTCATGACTCGTAGTACGCGGGTTCAAATACCTGGCGGAGGTCGTCGAATTTTTAAGGGCGGAAAAATTCAGGGAACAAGTCCTCCGGGAGGGACTTTAAGCCATGGGTCCCGTGTCGTAGCATTACGGCACGTAAAAGAACCTCATATCTCCAAAGGAGGTCACTGAGCCAAATTACGGACGTTTCCCGCCCAACAGCAGTCTCTAATACCTCTGGTAGATGGGGGAAGCATTATAGATACCTCTCAGCTAGTAGAGCCAGTCTTGCTGGCTGGGCGGGACTGATGGTAAGCACTGGTACCGGTAGGATATAGAGACTGGTAGAAATCATAGAAGGAAACACAATGGACCAATACAGGTCTAAGTACATGGGGAAACCCACCCTCTCCAATAACTAACTAACTAGTGTCTGCTACATGTCTCGATCCATGTTTGGATCATCATCAGGCAATTTCTTAAATATGTGCTTGTTACTGAATTGTCCTAATATGGACCCATAGTCGTATTATTTTAAAAATTTATTGCTTTCTATATCTCGTTATAACATTGGTGTTTTTGATACTATAGCTAATCCTTAGGGCTAAAATTGTTTAAACTAGTGTTTATGTCTTGTCGATATGATGTAGGTTTCTGTGATGCTTGTCGTATATTAGAGGGTGAAGACGTCTTCTGGAATTTGTTGTTAATGCCTGTTTTATATGTTATGAATGATTATTTGCGTACAATTGTTGTTGTTAGTTCTATATGCATTTCTCCCTCATTTACTTATGTAGTATGGTAATGAAGTTATTTTCTCTTTGGAGTGTGTGTTTGTGTGCTTCTTTTGTATGGATGTTTTCTTCCTACAATTGAATGTTGTTCCCGTTTTGCAGTTCTGTGTGGATGGCCAAAAATACCACATTGTGCACCAGGATGCAGACAATAAAGACAGTTAATATTAAGATTCACAACTTTATGACTTAACTCAGTGAAACACTTAACTTCAAATATTGTATATATGAGTATTTACCATCTCCACTGCATGTACTTTCATGATCACTTAGAGCAATTCTTTAATTCTTAACCTCACAGCGTGTGGCACAGGAAAATCTGTATTTACCGGCCTCTTAGTTACCTAAATAGAAAGTGCTCCTATCCATCATAGTTTGACATTTCAAATCATATATTTATTATTATCTAACTTATTACAATAGTTCCAAACAAAGTATGTTTCTATTAATAAATGAATTAGTAATTAATGGTAAATGGTTATTTCATTAAAAGATTTTAATTTGTTGACAGTCATATCATGTAGGAAGAATCATTAATTTAGACAAAAGTTTAACTTGTATCAGGTCTACAATATTATATTTAAGCATCCTGTTACACTCTATATGATATATGATATAAATTCCCTCCTAAGTGCAATAATTTATTGTAGGTCTTTCATTTTGCTTTCTTCCACACTACATGTTTCGGCCGCACACGTAGTAAAGATAAGCAGCGGCACGCACACAGGAAGCCTACACAGAATAACACCTGTACAGTGCTGAAAGCAAGAAGTAGCCGCTGCAGCACTATAGACGTGGGGCGAGTAACCCTGAGAATCTTAAATTTTAAATTTTAAAATTTGGAGATAATTTTAAAGGAACTTTTTAAAATTGGAACTGAAGATTTTAAAAGTGCCAGTTCATGAATGTCAAAATTGATGTGTGTGTGGGTGACAAAGATGATGTACGAATCAGACAAATATCAGTGAAGTAGATACTGTTAGCCAATTGGGAAGACCTGTGTGTTTTTAAATTTTAAACTGGGTGCAGTGTAACAGCTATGTGAGCGTATACACCTGATGATGGCCATCTGCAGCCAAAACATGTAGTGTGGAAGAAAGCAAAACGAAAGACCTACAATAAATTGTTGCACTTAGGATGGAATTTATATCATATATTGTATCAGGTCTCTTGAAAAGATTCCAAAGGGTTCTGACAATAAAGTATAACACTCAGGATTACTGGGTTTTTGGACATTGTTCAACGTCTATTATTCTAAAGAATACAAAAGAATGCAATGTTTCAGAAACTGGATCTGTTTCCATCCTCAGTTGTGGGATGGGAGACCCCTACTTTGTTGGGCTCATTAGAAAAAGCTAACTTCAGTCACTGGCTGGACCTAACAGAGAAGGTGTCTCCTACATCACATGAGGACAGAAACAGATCCAGTTTCCAAAATGCTGTGTACTTCTGTGTTCTTTAGAACAATGGATGATTCAAAAGTCCAAAAAGCCAGTAACCCTGTGTCTCTTGAAATGTACTAATACCTCTTTCACCTAGTACAGACATAAATTTACTGTATCTATTCAAATACTATGTACACTTTCTTTTTGCAATGCTTTCTTTCATAATCAGGTTCTGAATGCACTGAACATCTCTGAAACATATAAACTGGTAGCAGAAATTCTATTTTGCAATTATCCAGAATGCTGTGCAAATATAAAAACAGCAAAGCCATGCAAAAATTCTTGCAGGTTATATTTTAGAGTTCATTTGCAACATGTGGTGTGTGATATGCTGCTAACATATTTGCCAAAATTACAGCATTTTAAAATAACAAATAAAAGGTATTAATGTCACATATGGTCATCTATTTGAAACACAAAGCATTTGTGGTATGCTAATATCCACAACCAACAAATTCATGAAAGATTATTATAAATAAGTAGTCTAAACCCAATCCAGTGAGAATAATACCTCTACCTTTAGCAAGAGACTCATCACTATTCTATTTTATGAAGCTGTAACTTTCAGAACAACAAAAGGGCTATGATCACAATGTTTCATGCTGCTCCCTTACTTCTTGGCATAATCTTCTACAACATGGTCTTTGGCTGTTCCAGTGATAGCATCATGGTGCTGAAACAAACTTAAACTTCTTCGTGCATCACTTAATAGTTTTGTAAGACCTGATTCTGGTGCCAGCAGCCAATCAGATGAGCTCTGCTTTGTGCCCCAAGCCAAAGAAAACAATAGCTCGGTTGCCCTGAAACATGAATTATGAATTTGGGATGATCACATTGTAGGAAAGTAATGACATACATTTTATTGAACTGAGCAAAATATTCACAACTTTATACATAAGATATAGAATAACATTTTTTTCTGTGTTATTTCTTATTACAACTACAATTAAATAAAGGAAAAATACATATTTAAATAATATTTGTTATACAGAAGAAAATCAGGCTGCAATATCTCATTCTCTCACTCTGTTGTGTGGAGTTCGTATCATGACTACCGCAACAAAAGTGACTATTTCTGAAGAACATGAAAGAAACATGGGAGTAGAGAATATATTATTTGTCTTGGTATAACAAGCAAATTCATTAAAATACTTCAACTGCATGTCTAGTGCATGTAAGCTCTGAAGTCATATAAGTGAAACCTTTACTCCACATTAAGTAGGACTAATCACATCGATATGTACAGCATGAACAGAACAGAGGATCATTAATATTAATTTGGCTGTATGACCATACCTATCCTTAATTACTGATTATACTCCTCCTGACATGTAATTACTCAAGGGGGAGCTGGTGTTGGTTACTGCTGATGTAGGTCAAGGAAGACAAGTGTTATATATCTGATTGAGGCTGCACCATAGCTCAAGCAGTTAGTCGCTGGCTTCCCACCACGGTGGCCCGGTTTCGATCCCAGGTCTGGCCAAGTGGGATTTGTGGTGGACAAAGTGGCACTGGGGCAGGTTTTCTCCGAGTACTTCGGTTTCCCCTGCCAATCTTAATTCCATCAATTGCATCAAAATCACCCTCACCTATCATCTGGGGCTGGTACAATAGGCCAGAAGTGGCCGCAAGACAAGGGACTTAGTCCCACCTAACTAGCAATAAAAAAAATAATATGTATCTGATTAAACAAAGGTATTCCAGTATTATTAACCTGTCAGCACTAAAAGTTTTAGATACTTTTCAATAAAATGAGAATGGAGAAATGAGGCTTCAGATTTACATAAAATGTAACTTTGGGGTAAAAAAAACCTTAGCTTCAACAATTTTAGCCAAATTTCATTCAAACAATGCAAGAAAAGTATTAACCGTTCAGCGTGGTTTGACGTGTATGTTTCATCAGGTATTTAAATCGTCTGGGGGGGTTCGACATCTATGTTTCGTCCAGCTGCACACCTATGTTATAACGTCCATAATAATTGATGGTTTTGCTGTAGATTGTTAGATTTTTCGCTGGCCTGTTGTCACAAGGACTATATATAATGAGACACGACTTTATCTGCGCTAAGTCATCGTTACATATGCCTGTCTTGCAGCAAAGTTCCTGTTGCTCTTGCGAGAGGTTTCCTCGTTCAATCTGTTATGAATGGCGTGTTTTCTTTCCTATGAAGTTATAAACAGCAGAGACGTGATATGTGCTGTGTTTATAATATCATATTGCCCTGAGCTGGCCACACTAACACACTCAATTGGAATTCTTAGAAGAGGGATGTCCAAAAATTTATTCTTGCAAGATCGATTAATTTCGCACAGTACACAGCACCCAGTTCTTAGAAAAACGTCACGAATTAAGGCAGAACACTATGGTCACCCCCTATGACGATACTGGTGTGTGTGTGGGGGGGGGGAGGGAAAGAACTCATTCCTTCATGTATTATCGCTCCAGTTGACGCCATTTTATCGTACTGACCTTGGTGGTCGTTTCGAGGGATGACCATAAATTTTTTTTTGAGCCAGCTAAGCTCTGCTTTCGTGCACTACATACCAGCCAGTTCTTAGAATAACTTCATGAATTCTGTGGTCACCCCTACGACATCTACTGCCGCCAAAATGGATGGAATATCAAAGGCATAGCAACAACCCCTTGTTATGATAACTCGTAACGTTGAATTTACTGCAGCTGACCTGACTAGCTAAACGCTCACGGAAAGACATTTCCTTGAACATATACCCCTCACGGGGAAGAAGGCAAGGCCGCACAGAAGATGTGTGGTTAAAAAAAAGAGCCAAAGAAAAGATACACAATACTGGTGTGGTGAATGTGGGGCAGCGTTGGGTTAAAAGAATGCTTCAAGGCCTTCCTTACACTGCTCAAATTCTAAACCAACTGCTTCCATTGCCGAGATACCGGGTGCTCATATTATAAGGTAAGGTTATAAAAACCATCTTTTAAGATCACTTTAGTGAAAGTTTCATGCTTCAAGGCGTACGATACACTGCTCAAATTCTAAACCACCTGCTTCCATTGCCGAGATACCGGGCGCTCATATTATAAGGTAAGGTTATAAAACCACCTTTTAAGATCATTTTAGTGAAAGTTTCATGTTCCTATCTCATATAATTTAAGAACAATGATGAATAAATCATTTTCGAGCAAAATTTAAATGGCCGGCTGAATATATTACCGCCGGAGAGACGGCAGTGGAATTTAAATAACCGCGCGAAAGGGTTAAATATGTGAAGAATATGAGAATATTACTTACGTTACATCAATACTTCAGCTTGGTAAATTAGTTCACAGAGCACTCAGTTGGGATCAACATTCCCATTAACACACAAATATCCCAAGCACATCAGTGTCATCCAGTGTCCAAGATTTCCAAGGTTTCACTGAAAATCTTATTTGAACACAGATGCCCCCAGCACTATGAAATGTTCTGCATATGGCTGGCTTCTATTATTGCTAAGAATTGTTCTATATTAACAGTCAGTTTTGGTTACTATATTTCCAAAACACATTATACAAAAATACTTGCTTACTTATGGTTTACTTAACATTGCTGTAAATGGTTCATAATATACAGCATCAGAAGTGTGATGATTAGTAAATGATAATTTGAAAAGGATGTGAAAGGAAGCAATCATGTCCTACTTTAAGGTACTATCCTAGTATCTGCTTGGAGGAATTGAGGAAAACCACAAAATCCCTCAGCCAGAATACTCAGTCTTCAGGGTGTTATCTGATGATGGAGGAACCTCCCAACTAAGAAGCAACAGTGCTAGTCATTTGGATACATTGTTCGGTATAGTGAAAAACAGATAAAAAAATTTACACAATGTCTTTTGTGTTCTCTGCTGCACCCTGTAGTCCAAAACCATCATTAAAATGTTCCTTGCACCCTTTATGTCTTCCCATTTGAAATCTATCACTAATACCTCTACCTCCTCCTCCTCCTCCTCCTTCCCCTCCCCCCCTCCTCCTCCTCATCATCGTCATCGTCGTCATCATCATCATCATCCAGTAATATGTCAACTGTAGCATAATTATCCACAAATTTTCACCATTAATGTTTCAATATAATTAGCTTCATTCTGAATCACTTGAATCTGAACTTTTAGCGCCACTGGAGCATTCCACTGCATATGTACAGCACAACTGATTTCTTCTAACTCAGCATTGGCTACTATGACCTTCAGCTTCCAAAGTAATAGATCCTGGTTCCACTCAGCTGCAAATGTCTCTACATGTCAGAAGCAACAGTCAGTCACATGGTAAAGCACCTAATGGCAGGACAGGAAACTCTGTCCATGAAAGAAAGATGAGACTTGTAATTATCCATGTCATGATGAATAATTATGAAAAAATGGAACAGAAAGTTCCAATTTTCAGCTTTCAATGCATACACACATTTACAGAATGCCTTAATAGTCACACAAAGGAAGCCCTAAGTAAGTGATGTCACTGACATGATCCAGATGGCACAGATGGCACTGAGGGGTTAAACACACACAAAAAGTTGAATAAAAATCAAAATTTATTGATACATGCCCTCACTTGTATACTGTCACTCACAGAACAACACACCAATAACCAGCAAGGTTCATACTTTTAATTGATATCATTACTCCAGGTTTACAACTAAGGAAATTATAATAAGATAACTACATGACTGCCCTCTATAACTTCTACTGCAACACAGACATGAGGATTAAGTACAGATCTGGGGGAGGGGAGGGTAAGCAACTTTATAAAAAATGCAACATGAGACACATAAATAAGACAAACAACATACTAACCTGACATAAGAGACAAGCATACGGTCCACGCGCTTGTAGAATGGACGAGATGTGTAGTAACCACTCCAGTAGTGATCATCACGATCTGCATAAGTGAAGAAGTCTCCAGAGAGAGAGAGGAACCCTTCCGGCATGCTCTCTTCCCTCACTGCATTAAAATAGTCCTTCAGTGTTCCAAACTGTGCCTGTGGGGCAATTTATATGTTATAAAAATATAGCAACTGTGTGATGTGTCCAACATGTGCCTAAAAGGGTTTAGTAAAACTGAAACATAGCCCTTGTAAGAAATAAGTGGAATGGTATGCTCTAGCATAGTACACAAACTTCTCAAATGTGATCTGTGTGGTTCTGCATGCCTCACTGGCCTTCATACTCATTTGATGCAGATTTTATTACAGGTACAACTTCGCTATTGTGTAACCAATCATTCTACAGACACACTGAAGAGAGTAAGGAATTATTTTTCTTAGTAATTCATGACATATTCACCACGCTGAAAAACATAAAAAGTATCAGATCTGTTCATTTTGGACTTAAGCACCAGGATCATGGTCATAGGCATCACTAAGATTCAAAAACAAGACTTCGCCACCCAATGGTAACATCAAGCAATTACGGTTTTCAGCTTGACATTCAGCTCCTAGTTTTCTCTTCTATGAGGGAACACAGCATTCTACACTACAGAATAATTACTGTCAATTCAAAATCATGGGCAACATTTATAATAAACTGAATTCAGATGAGCTTACTGCAAGACATGTTCTCTAGTTAACTAACTGCATCGATCAGAAGCCTTCTTGGGAAGTTACCGGTCACTCAGTAAGTAAATACATTTCCTGTTTTTACATAATTTGAATTTCATTGCTATGTCCACAAGAGATTTATTAAACCCTGTAATGAGTCAGATGAATCCAGTCCACATCCTAAAAATTTAGTCTTTAAAAATCAGTTTTAAAATTATCCTCCCATCTATGCCTGTATCTCACAAGTAGTTTCTGATCTTCAGGTTTACTCACTAAAATTTTGTAACCTACTCTCACTTCTCCATACTTATAACACATTCTTCCCATCTCATTCTCCTTGATTAGATCATCCTAATAATATTATCTGAAGATTAGAAATTATAAAAGTGCTCAGTGTGTAATTTTCTCCAACCTTCTGTCACATACTATAACTTAAGTTAACGCATTCTTCTCCATACTAGGTTCTTGAACACCCTCAATCTATGTAACACACAATAATGCTACAATATAACATGAAAGCCTTGTGCAAAGCTACATAAATAATAAACAAAAGGAAGCAATATAAGGATACTCCTAGCAAACTAACAAGCAGCAATTGCAAAGCAGTACACAGACCTCAACGTTCAGATGAGGCTTGCTGTTCCAAAAATCAAATATCTTTTGGTAGTTATTGTACTGGGCATCCCATTCTGATGCGTGGTCATAACGAAAATCATCACCAAGTGGGGCAAGAACAACATTAGTTTGATATAACTGTGCTTTCTTGCGGTACTGTTCAAGCAGCAACCCAGCTCTGCAAGAAATAACCAGCTCTTTTTAAAATAAACATAGGTTTAATGGACAGTACTAACAAAGTTTCTGTGAAAAAGTGTCAATAACTAACACGTTTCAACAATGCTCCAACATGATCCATGAAAGTCAAAGTGTAAGACCATATTACAGAAAGAAAATTGAAAGAACTCTTGATCAATAATAACAATTATGACAACTACACACAAGGTTATTAAAAGAATTTCGTTAACCTCTACAAGTTTGGGCAAGAAAAAATTTATCCCACAGTATAAAACTCCATCTCTGATGGCACATGTCTGCCCTGAGTCTGTAACAAAAAAGGCAGCTCATTTTGCACAGAGACAAGCCTGGACACTGTGGGGTTCTCACATGAATAAGGCCTGGCAATACTGAAGTAATAAAAATAAGTGTAAATAAAAGACAAAAAGTATCTATGTACGGTTTGAGGTTTTCTCAGTGGTGACTATGAAGAATGCCATCTTCTGGGATGAGGCACTGTGTGGATATTGTGTGAACCAACATTTCAGATCTACACAGCACCATATCCCAGAAGATGGCATTCATCAAGGAGTATCTATTCAGTACAATTCAGGTCATTCAGTATGATACAGGCCAATGGTCTAGCAAACAAATTAATTCCACACAGCAGAGTCATCCTTCATCCTTGAGAAATTATGGAACCCAAGCTTCATCACCATGTTCCTACAAGCCCACCACTGGTCCCTATTCTGAGCCACATAATCGACCCATCCTGTTTGTTTAAAGATCCATTTTAATATTATCTTCCCAACAATTTCTGTATGTTCCAAGCAAGCCCTTCAGGCTTCCCACCCAAACTCTCCAAACTCTTCTGTGCATTTCTCATCTCTTCCATGCATGTTACCTGCCATGTCCACTTCATCCTCCTTGATTTTATCATCCCAATAATACTGAGTGAAGCATAGTACAAGTTATGAAGCTCTGCATGTAATAGGACAGTAACAACTTCATCATCAAAAATGTCATTGAATTCTCTTTCCAGATTACAAATCTTTGTTCTGGAAGACATTGTAAAAATTAACTGATATGATTTGTACTATTTGTCCTTTTCCAAAAAGTCTCTTTATATAGTTCAGCAGATATGCTATCCCACACTTTACAGGACTAAGGAATTAACTATTTCTTAGGCTATTTAACAATACACCTTCAACTGCACATAGAATATACAGTCAAATCAAAATGAATATTTGATTTGTTTCATTCTGGTCCGTCACACTAACAATTATAAACACAAACCACTCCGTCCAGTGTGATATGTAAGTTTTTACTATGTTAAACTTATCTCCCTTACATGTTTCGGTCCTTACGGGCCATCTTCAGAAGGAACATCATTACAAACTGGAAACTACCATCACAATAGGTGTTTTGATTTAAAATACATACACTTATATCCTATAATGCACAGTAGGCATAAAGTTGAACTTTTCACAATCACAGCAGCTTCCTGGTGTTGTAAAGTTTCTAAAAGTTTCTAGATGTTACTTAAAAAACCTTTATTGTCAATAGTTAACATTTTTTTAAACCACGTAGGTTCGTGTCCGTACTCCTATCGTCCTTCTTGTATGGGGCAGATTTTGTGCCGCCTGTCTATCTTGATGAGGAGGTTCTTGATGTCATCCAGGACTTGTTCGTGGCTTGCTGTGTTGTTGAAAACATAATAATGAATGACAATTAGATAGGGATTTGAAAGAAGGCAGTTGTGACCTATTTGAAGACAATATTCAGGCATGGATTAACTGAGGAAATCCACAAAACTCTCAGTAAAGATAGCTATAAATTTTGCCAGAACCTGAATCAGATTTCTTCCGAATAACATAAACGACGCTGCTAACAATACATGTTTGGTGCCCCTAGAATTGTAAACAGGAATTATTAAAATATCACTCAAAACATGTAGGTCTTAGAAACCTTCCAAATCTGAGTCTACATACAATCTAAGGTAAAATATGTTCCTGGTGTGGTTTACAAAATTGACTTCAAGCTTAAAGCAATGGCTTAGCTCACCTATGAGCTACATTCTGTTTTGTGATGACCTGTGGGGGAACTTTCCATGGACATGAGATGCCATACCCTGGCAGTCGGCGGAAGTCAAACTGACAACATATTTTTGGGTCTGGTCCACATGTATGTGGCACATCATAGCTATAGAATGGCATCATGTGTGTAAACAGATCTGAAGAACCATCACCATCTGGAATACAGCAAAAAATTAGGGACTATTAAATCTTGCCTTTCAATAAATTAGTCTGGACAAAAATTCTGTTTATTCTTAGGCTGCATCGATTCTCTGTGGAGTGGAATGCACAGAAAAATTTCAACATTCCTCTGTAGGAAACTGTCAAAATTGGTCTGTGGAGCAATTAGCCCTACAATCAGTAACCATAAATGTTCCATTAACTATAACACACGAACAGTGCCATAGGAAGTGAAGTGTTTTAAATCTCATAGCACATTAAAAATCAAAATTAATCAGAAAAATCAGCTTTTTCTCTATTAAAGTAATCTTAAATACCAAAAAAGTTTTATTTTTTTATTGATGTCTTGTAAATACTCCTGTCAAATGTAAACTGGTTCCTATTTAGCTCCAAAAGTTCTGGTTCCCAGAGGAAAGCCTTCACATGTTTCCGTTCAGGTGTGGGCTTGCAGTATTCTTCATGCTTTTGGCAAAGTTATTTAAGTATGTGATGTGCAATAATTGATATTAAACACACATGACATATGTGAAAACAACACTGCCATGTAAGATTTGAGGTTTTCACAGCAGTGGCGCCATGTAGATATTGTGTTAACTGATGTTTCGGAGGAACGTAGCACCTCCACCCAGGGTGAGCTAGTTCCTTGTTTGCGGATTTTCTTCTGTTTTCTTCTACCTTGAAGATGGAGGTGATACATTCCTCCAAAATGTCGGTTAACACAATATCTACATGGCTCCACATCTCAGAAGACTGCTTTCTTAACATTGCCATACCTTGGCTACACACATAAAAATAGCAAAATCTATACATAATTCAGTCCATAACCCATGCACAGTTATATGCAGTAACTAATGCCACATACGTTTTCAATAATCCAGACCAATTTCAAGCCACTTATTATTACATTTCCAATGGCTTATATGATTTTTATCATTTTATATATTGCCATGTGTGACTCACTAGACACCGGGTTTTGATTGATTATTGGATTTACTGAACACATATAATTTGTAACTACAAATAATTATGATGCTTTCACTAATCTATACACTCCACAAGTTACTACTGTAAATACCAAGTCTATATCTTCAATGGTCATTGCTAGGTAGCAGCTCCCAACAGTATACATTCCTCTGCTCCCATACTCATGTCCTTGCTGCCTGGCTACCATCTAACAACTGACTTACACTCTCGACTGGTCCTCATTATCTAGCCTCAGCATGGCCTGCACAGACAACACTACATCCAAGAGCATCCACTGTTATAGAAGCGTGTTTACAAAGCCACTGGGCAGCAATGGCCATCTCTCTTCACTCCACTACTCCAGCTTTCAGGTGTTATGTCACAATATTTACATATTTTCCAATTATTATTGTTATTTCTGTAATAACTCTTTATGGATTGAGATCAGTGTTTCTGAAATATATTACATATTTTGAAGTTAATAAGCTGAGACCTCTTAATTTTTAACTTAATTCATCTTTCAGTTTGAACGGTTATTTTATATTTTTAATAAGACATGATTGATTGCTCATTCCTGTAAAGTTTGAGAGCCAACTACTTCTTATATATACATAAATTTGAATCACCTCACCCCACAGCTGTCTCCATCGAAATTCAAGGTTCTTGTTGCGTGCAAGATACTTCTTGACAGAATAATGTACACGCTGAATAACCAGGTTCTCAAGTCCCATCCTCTTCAGCAGATATGCCATCGTGGGTGACTGTCCAAATGGATCTATGGACCAACTATTCCTACAATCAGTAACCACAAATGTTTTGTTGACTATAACAAATGAATAATGTCAAGAGAAGTGAATTTTAGATGTCATCTCATATTTAAAATTCAAGTTCATCAGAGAAATGACTTTCTTTTCTTCATTAAAATAATCTTAAATATTAAGCAAGTATATTTCTCAATAAATGCCGAAATGTCATATACATAGACCAAACCTTTAAAATCAGGAATGTGACATACTGAATTTAATTTAGCTCTTACCAATAAGCTTATCTAGTTAATGAATATAAAAACTGTTAAGATGAGAAAGTGTTCTTTGACTTCCAATTTTCTTTGATACTGCATAGTAAGAATGACTCAGTGGAAAAGATGTCAACTTCTTCAGAGAACTTATAAAGAAAATTACTAAACCTTAGGCTTATGTAATGGATTTTTCATCATGAAAGTATACATTCCTACAAAGCACCTTCTGTACAATGCTTCTGGGCTAAAAGGTAAATTAAAGTGTTGGAGCATCCACTATACTAACATGATTTGGCCAGAGAACGTTTCACATTCCCAGAACTGAAAATATCCATGAAAGGGTGTCAATATGAATCATTTGAAGGCATTCAAAGGAATGTAATGACAGTACTAAGAGTAGTTTCAAAAAATGATTTTCAGAAATACACCTGAGCATGGGAGACACAATGGAATGTGAACATGAAGTCAAAAGGAGATATAATTTCAAGGTGACCACTTAGTAAGATGATGGTGAGAATACTGTGGCATGTAGAAACCCGTTGCGAGATAGGAACCATGAAACTGACAACAAAACGTCTGCTGCCAGGCAACAGATTTAAACCAGTGTGGCTGTTATAGTTACTCTGTCTATGGGCACTTCCTCTAGTGACAATATGTATCTTCTTTAAAGAAACAGTTTGCTTATTAAACTTGTAACCGATTAATCCTTTTTAATAATATACTTCAACTAATTTATGTATACATTTATTATTTTTATAACTACTGTATTTTGTAAGACTTGAATTTGTGGAATTGCATAAATCATCACACGCTGTATTATGTCATGGGCTATACATTAAGTGGGAATGACTCAATGTCACATGACTTCTTATGAAGCTGATAATATAGGGGCTTTCCCCTTGTTCAGAAAAGCATGATGTAAGCTTCATAAGTTAGTTAGAGCGGTACTTCCCAGGGTATGGCCAATGGGAGACACTAGCTATTGAATGACATCATGCTAATAGCCAACGGCATGACACGCTTTTCCTTTTGTTCTAGACAGACAAAGCATAGGTCTGAAACTGTTAAGACATGTATTCGTGTCGCTCCCAAAAAAGGGAACAAAAGAACTACAGATAACCATCAACAGTGTTACTAACGATATAAATTTGCATACTAAATAAAGTGTAAGTGTTCATGTATTTGTTGTTGGGTTTTGTTGACTGCCTTCTTGGAACCAAGGCCCACTTAACAACCCTGTGATAGTCTCATATTCTCTGCTGAGTGGTGCCCAAGATATACTACAGAACAACAGGATCGTTCGGCTACAAAAAAGGTGAGGCTACGTCTCCGCCTGAATCTTCGGAGTCACTATAAGGCGATTCACAGCGAGCAGCTATGTCTACCTTAACCCCTCACAGCGAGCAGTTGCGGCCATCTTAACCCCATATGTAGTTCCCTGTGGTCAACGGGCAAACAACGGTTACAAACTGACTGATCTTGTACACATGTATACATACACATCTGAAAGTATAAAATGACAAAAATGTATTTATTTATTTATTGGCACTATTAGTAGCTCAGACTTTGTAGTATCAGATGGAACAGGTTGATTAACTCATAACTCATTGGGAATGGAGGTGAAAGGATGACAAGGTGGCCTATTAAAAAAACCATCAACGCACCTGGGTTTAAACTCAATCTGATTCAATAACCACTGGTGCCCTTCCATCATCTGTAACAGCATTGAGAAGTAATGTGTACTTGCTTCATCATTCATCACCCAACCACCTGTTACTATCTCCAACTGCCCATCAGATATAAGCCTGTAATCAATACATACACAATTTTCAGTCACATCTTGCCTGAAAAAACCAATAGGCTTACATACTACAGAACTCCAATATTTTCTCAACCATTGTTCTTTGCCCATATTTAAAAATGAACTGAAAATGGTGAGTGAAAACATGGGCTTTGAAGTGTCTGAAATAAGTTTTTGATTCAGTGAGCAATCTCGTGTACTATTTCTGTCAACTGAAAAAAATCCAATGACCTCATCAGGACTTGAACCCGTGACCTTCCGGCTTGTAGCATAGCGCCTCAACCAACTACACTATGGTATGCCCCCTGCAAGTTATTACAATACATATAATATGTAACAAAATTACTGCATAACTATGAGAAGCTGATGGGTTTCAAATTAGCAGTTGTTTTCTTATGAAGGTGCAATATCCTAAAAATTAAGCTTGTGTTACAATTTTACAAAACTTAAACACTCATGCATTCATGGAGCTCAGCCCTTCTTGAGAAGCTGCCTACATCTGACGAATGCAAAAGATCTGATCAGTAGTTAATCTGTTACATCAAAACCCACATAGATGATCCCCAATAATTTCATCTATGTATGGACTTAATATTGAGATAATAGTGGATAAAATTTTGTACAAAATTGATAGCAGTGATATCCCCTGATAATTACTACAGTCAGACTCCTTCCACTGACCAGGCAATTTTTCTTTATCCCAAACAGAATTATCTTATGGTTCACAGATTGTAATATTTTGCTTCCTGCTTGAATGAGTTCTGCAGCAATTTGATCACTACTTGATGATGTATACCTTTTCAATTTTGCAATAGCAATTTTAATCTCAAAAGGGCTAATATCAGGTACTAACAGCTCAGCTGTATGTATTTCTATCTTCCTAACATCACTGACCCTATGTATATTCAATAATCGAGAGAAGTCATTCTTACACCTATTCAAAATGTTGTGGGAATCTGCTAGCAGATCACCATTCTCATCCTTCACCAATTTACTTCTAGGTTGGTAGCCCTTCTTAAAGTCATTTAATCCTCTATACAGGTCTCCAGTGTTCTTGTTCTTACTGTTTGTTGCAGGCTCATCAATTTTGTCTTTCAGATATTCCTCTTTCTATTCCTGAAATGCCTGTTGGCTTCACACCTTATACTGTTCTGATTATCCCCATTTGTTTCGCTTCAATCCTGTAACCACTGCAATTTGGCTTGCTTTATTCTGTCTAATAATTTTGAGAATTCTTCGAACATGGCTTATGCTTCTTCAGTTATAATAACCCAGACTCTCTTTGGCAGAAATTTTGATATTATCTCTAATAGTTTCCCAAGCTTTATTAACATCCTCCTCAGTATCTAAGTTTTCCAAAGCTGTGAACCTATTTGAGATTGCAACACAATATTGCTCCTTACCATCTACCTTGTTTAATTTCTTGAGATTGAACCACTCCATATGAACTATGTTTTGTTCTTCTACTCACTGCCAGTTTTTCCTAACCTTTGGCACCACCAGGTAGTGGTAAGTATCACAATCTGCTGCCCTGAATCATCAGACATCAAGTATACTTGAATGCCATCTCCTATCTATCAAAATATGGTCTATCTGATTGTGTATCTTCCCATAAAGAGATGTCCAAGTAAATTTATGAATATTACAATGTGCGAACATTGTACTTCTGACAATAAGATTTTTAGATGTGACAAAATTTACTACTGTAACTATTGTCATTGTTAATTTCATGTAAACTCTTATTCCCAGTCATTGGTTTGAAAATGTCATCCCTACCTACTTTGGAATTGAAATATCCTAACAAAATTTTCATACAGTACTTTTGGAATTAATCAAATACATATTCTAATTCTTTGTACAACCCGCCCTTTATATAATTAATTTTATCTTCTGTTGGGGCATGAACATTCAGAATGATGATATCACACTAGAGACCTCTTAGTATTAGGTATGACATCCTATCAGTAACAAATTCTACCCTCTTAACTGCTGATATGTCTCTCTTATGTATGAAAAAATCTGTACTTAATTCATGATTTTCATTCCCCTTTCCATAGAAAAATATATATACTCCTGATGGTTCGGTGCCACCTGCATCCCATCTGACCTCCTGTACTCCCACTAAATCTAACTTATATTTTGAGATTTCTTCTGCCATTGTCCCATACATACTTCTAACATTCCAAGTACCAGATCTCACATCCATTTTCTTTCACTTAGGTAAAGACTGCAAAATATATTTTTGGAGAGATGTTTTAATTCACATTAAACATTATTTTAAATCATAATTAGGAATACTGCACACTGACAGCATATAAACCTCAATATCAATTATGTGAATCACCTTCAATGCCTTCTACCAAACATTTTCTAACACCTTAGAATCAGAATGTCTTGTAGACTATTCACTTTCATTAAATCTGAGTCCAGTCAAAATTAATCCCATATTTTGCAACAACCTCACCACTGTGACCTGCATACAGGCACGGCAAGAGAAACCCTCCTAATTTGATTTGTTTCATTCTGGTCCGTCACATTAATATTATGAAAAAGTTAAATAGTTCCATCCAGTGTGACTGGTTAAGATTTTCTTATTTCAATTATTCATGCCCTTACATGTTTCGGTCTTCAGAGACCATCTTCAGAGGGACACCTTTACATCAATACAGTTAGAAGCATGAATAACTGAAATAAGAAAATCTTAACCAGTCACACTGGACGGAACTATTTAACATTTTCACAAACCCTCCTAAGTTTATAACAGTGGGTATGTCTCTTTTCTGGTCTTGTAGCATTGCAAAATGTTGTCATTCTTATTAACTCATGAAATGTTTTCTAATTCCAATGGCACGGATTCAATTTCTTGGATCTCTGTTACATCTGTGACACATCTATCCTTAGTTTTCACCAATTCCTCCAAATCATCATTGTCATCGCTGTAACTATTAACCTAAACATGCTCATTCAGACTGCCAATGTTTCGTTTTTCCTTTTTTAGAAATGGACAACCACCCCCATAGTTTGGTTAGCTCTTTGACAAAATGCATTCCTACTTTTCCGGTGTCACTTACTAAGAGTTCCCCCAAAATTCAGCTGCTGTTGCTTCAAATATTTGACAGCAATCTTGATAAGCTTCAAAATATTTTTAACTTTAGACATATTTTCCTAATCTTCTGCTGGATTTGCATTTCTGGGTTCAATGGTACCATGCTGGTTCAAAGGTCCCTTAGCTCCAGTAAACATAGCATAAAGTCACAGGGAGAATACTAGAAGCTGGAATAGCTCAGATAGCAACAGGCTATGGGCTGGATGGTCGCAGTTCAATTCCTGGTAGGTGTAAGATTTTTCTCTTCTCCTTATCATCCAGACCAGCTCTGGGGCCCACCCAGCCTCCTATCCAATGGGTAGTGGGGAAGATTTTCCCCAGCATAAAACAGCCAGGGCATGAAGCTGGCTACTCACCTATAATTAGTGCTGAGGTCAAGAATGGTGGATCNAACAGTAAACACTTCACTCTTAGACTTTATGAAATATACAAAAACAACATGCGTATATTAGTATTACCAACATAATTAAGCAAGCACAGGGACAACTTTACATTTCTTACCACAGGGAGACCACCAACTTTTGAAATGTTTACCATTCGTTTCTTTGGCCATATTCTCTTTAAAACTGCTATTGTAGAAGGCATTCTCATTTTTTTCATAATATTTCAGACCTTTAAAATTATTAAGGATGCTGATCTACATTTAAATTAATCACTCACCACAATCTGCAGAATGTAAACAGAACACAGGATTGATATGGCTCTAATTTAGAGATTTGTTGGCAAATATTTTCTGGAAATATTTCTTCTTTAGGTTGGTAGTTTCACAAACATCTTCAGTAAATGAAATCCACCTTTTACTCTTCTTTATATAAATTGCAAACTATACCTATTATTTACAACTGTGCATATGCTACTAAGACTGACTATGGTGACTGCTATGACAACAGTGACATGACTATACAAAATAAATACTTATGCATTACAAGGAGTGGCACATAACTGAAGAAAAGAATGGGATGTGTGCTGTCATACATATCCATTACTATCGCATTCAATGCATTAACAAAACTCAAATGACAAGCTATCCATAAAAAACAAATTCCCTTAAATGATGCATGCCCTGTTTTTTTTGTGCCATTCGTATTATGAAGAAGGTGGTATGTGACAAAATACAGTATTTTAAATCTACAATATAAGAAACATGAAAGATATAAACATGCAATTTGGAAAGCAGGGGAAATAATCTACTCACTTCTTCACTTGCTCCTTTGTCTCTGCAGGAATCTCATCCCACCAAAGAGAGAAGAAGGATATCTCTGCCCAGATGAACTTTCGCCGTGGATCTTCAGACAATTTACTAACCATGTTGTTTAGAATGTTACGTGTCTGACTGTGGTAATAGTCTTCAAACGTTTTAATCCAGCCTGACAGAATATTGCCATTCACAGTTAAATGTGCAACATATTACTGCATTTTACAATTGATAAATGTATAAAATTCAATACCACAATTCAAAACTGTTTCACATTAAACAACTCCATAAAACTAATAGCTTAATGAATGACTGACTGGTAAGTATTTAAAGATGTTACATACACTACAAATTTAGGTAGAGACTGTGGTTAGGGTTGTGACACCATGTAGTCTTGTAGGAAGCTAGCAACATTTCAAAGGAACTTGCTGCTTCCTCACTTCTACCTCGTAGTTGTATGTAGATGTGTGCTCCAAAATGTTGGTAACCAGCTGAAAGACCATGTGGTGTCATAACCCCCTTGGCTACAAATTTAATTTTTAACATTGTGAAAACCTCAAATCTAATATAATAGACATTATGCCCAAAAAGTCACTGACATCCAGAACAAACATAACTTCCTTATTACATGTAGTGGCATTAACATGAACATGTTCCAATGCCACTACAGGCCAGAGTCCACTTTCACAAGCTTCAGAGATAAAGTATGTGAAGAATTTTAAAGTTCACTGCATGTCTTAAAAGTGATTTTTAGAAAATATGTGTTCTCAAATTTTTGTCATTTCTGTACTGACATATAAAACCTTTGTCCTAAAGCCATAATTATCCAAACAAATATATATCAGAAATCAATAATGTGATACCTATTCCATACAAGTTACTGATTTTTTATGCCAGCTAAACTGCAAAGGTGAAGCAAAGGTTCAAAAATATAAAGTCTGTAATTATTCACACATCTCTTCATATAAATAATTCAGAACTCATATCTCTGACACATCTGAATGCTTTAAAGTACCTAATATTCAGGGGTCTATAAAACAGTGATCTGATAAATAAAAGAAGTGTCAAGAATGCCATCTTCTGGGATGTGGCAATATATAGTTCTCGTCAGTTCACAGAAGATCTACATGGCGCCACATCCCAAAAAACAGTACTCTTCCTAGTCACTGCCATGAAAACCTAAAATCTTATAAAAGGAAGTATCAATTGCACCAGAGGAACGTGTGCCACGGAATCACAGGTTTTCAGCAGTTCAATTATTATTTAATTTAACACAAACATGAGTGCTAAATAAAAATTAATTTAATAACTAGCCAGGCATGTAATGTCTGAGCCAAAGAAAGAATATTATCTATCAAACAGGATGTCCTTTACCAGGGATTAGGACAGATTTCTGTATTCTTAAAAATTTTTCTAAATTTTGTAAACTGTAACCTCAACATCTCACAAATCTATGGGCCTCCAGGTCCTGTTACAGGGATACCTTTACTTACTTACTTCAAAACTGCACAGATTTCTAGCCCTACAGACGTACTATTATTACAGTATACTATATGTTACCCCACACACAAATTATCCACTTCATGGATTAACTGCAGCATTTTTAGGTTCCTCAGTTACTTCGTATAGTGTTCCACAATGATTTAAGTGTTGCTATTTCATCTGTTTCAGTAATATGTATCAGCGACGCTTTACAATGATTTTCAGGAGACTGTATATATTAACCTGTTGAAACTTTCCAGCTTATTAGTCTACTGCTTTTTGCACTAAACTACTATCATTGAACAAGGGCTGCCTTTTTCAATTAGCTAAACATTTGTCTCACTGCTTAGTTAACAGTAAGTATTAAAAGAGTGATTTTTGGGATTAAATGCAGCATGGATAATGGGTATTTTCAGATTCTTGGATTTGCCAGTCATTGCTTTTAATTACCTGTGTTATTTCTCACCTCCATTAGAGCAAATAATTGTGAGTTCACTGTACTATTATTATTATTATTATTATTATTATTATATAACTTTTAGATTTTCTTCTCTTGACTGTTTATATGTGCTGTATCTTACACTAGTCAGGTCCAAGTTGGAATATGCCTCGGTAGCTTGGAATTCTATCACGTCTACTGACTCCGCAAAACTTGAGCGCATCCAGAAAAAGTTTGCATCTGTCTGTTTCTACCGCTACTTCCCACATAGCTCCTATAGTTATACATCTGCCTTAGAGAGACTAAGATTGCACCCTCTAAGTATGCGTAGACATCTTCTTGATGCACTCTTCTTCATTCAGGTTTATCGTGGCCTTAAATCCTGCTCCTCCCTTCTGGATAATGCTAGTCTTCGTGTTCCTACTTGCCATGTTCGAGACTTCTCTACTTTTAGCGTTCGTCCCTCAAAAAGACACTGTCCCTCTTCTAGGTGCGCCCTTGCTACCAACGTGGTGGGTAAAGATCTCGACATATTTGCAGACGGAGCGGTTTCTCTGAATCATATTTTACAAGCATGTACCAAACCTTTTACGGTGTTACTTGATTAGTGTTTTCATTCACTACAAATATGTGTTACCTCGGCTAGCTTTAATTATTCTTATGTAATTGGTTTTAATTTATTGACTGGTTATTAATTTTATTAATTTTATGCTATCACTCACTGGTGTCTTATCTTAGTATTTAGTTACTAACAGTATTAGCAACATTCGTAATATTTCATAAATGTATGTATATATTTCAGTCTTCTTTAGATCTATGTTCACAGATTTATTTGTCGTATTTGTATTTTGTTTTAATTATTTTGTACCTTATATACTCGTGCTAACTTTGTAATTGGCCGCTGGGCTGTTAAGTTATTGCACGTAAATAAACATGAATTGAATTGAATTGAATTGAATTATTATTATTTACTGATTTACAAATACAGTAGGACTTCACTAATTTGAACTAATTGGGAGTGAACCCTTGTCCAAATATGTGAAAGTCTAAATTATATAAGTGTTACTGAAAACATGTTCAGGGAAGTTGCAGCAGCCTGCAACTCCACTCTTCTTACAGGGACACCAACAGAACGCTGTTGCTTGTACCACTGGTAAACAGCCTCATAAATTTTGTTCTGCTTGGGTCCAGTTGTCCTTTTCCACTTTTCAGCTTGATCACTACATGGATCATCCTGTTTTAGAACAAATTGCAATGTTTGTTTAAGATTTTTCTTTAATACCATATAAGGTAGGCCTAATTATATCATACTGATTCATTACATTCTGAATGGAAGCACCATCAACAAGTTTGTTTAAAACTTTCATGTTCTCTTGGAAGGTGGATCATATTTTCCTCTAGCACTCATTTTAACAGATGAAAAATACACTACTGAAACACTAAAATGCTAATAAAAAGTAGGCCTACTCAAACACCAACATGCACTGTTCACACAAACACAGAAAGTTTTAGGTTAGCTGTCTGCATATCTATTTTCTTGTGGCCGATTTTCTAGATCTAGAATGCTCTGACTTTAAATCTCTTTTAAAATGGCCTTCATGTTTGATGTGAGGCCTATGTGGATCTACGATCATCTATGCTAGCACTACACTGATCATGGCAATGTTATCATCAAGGTTGTAATGTGCAAAAACTAAAAAAACAGTTCTCCAAATTATCATGAATTCTAAGTTAGTGAAGTTCAAATTATTGATGTTACACTAAAATTGTAAATATTATATGAAGGTGTCTTCATGATCTCCACACATAAATTTAAAACCCGGTATTAAGTTCACATTTACTTTTCCAGAGTCAGTGTCAGCTGTCAAGAATGTTCATATAATCAGACAATCAAATATCTGTACTTACTTACTCATGGAGCTGAGCCCTTTTTGAGGAGCTGCCAATACTCAAAAATTTCCCAGCATTTTATGGAACCCAAAGGTTCATTATCGTGTTAACAAGAGCCCTCCACTGGTACCTATCTGGAGCCAGATCACCCACCTTCGCCTTAGTCTTCCCAGCGGTCTCTTTCCTTCTGGCTTTCCCACCAATATCCTATATGCATTCCTCTTCTCCCTCGTTCATACTACATGCCCTGCCCACCACATCCTCCTTGACTTGATCATTCTAATTATACTTCAAGAGGAGTACAAGTTATGAAGCTCCTCATATCAGATAACTGTGAACATCCTGATTTCTAAACAACTTCACTGAACCTAAAATATTACTCTGAAAATCCAGATAGCCACACATATTAGTTATAATTCATATTACTGCCTCTAAAGGTATCCAGAATGCCTTTTCAATAAGTCAACTACACATAGGATTTGAGGTTCTCACAGTGGTGGTTATGAAGAGTACTATCTTCACTGTCTTCACTGACATTTCAGTGGAACATGTTACCTCCATTTTCAGGGATGAAGAACAGGCAAAGCATGAAACCAACATGAAGCAGACAGTATGTGATACACTGCTGTTTACTTCACCAGTCTGTATCAAATTACATCTCAAGACAGAATTCTTCAAGTCTGTTACATGGTATAATTAAGGTCATGACTAACTTTATAATACTTAATGTATAAAAACAAATATGATTTATTTCTATTGACTGTCCAGATGTGTCATACCTGGATCATTGTGAGAGTGTGGAACCACAAATACTCTGAGCTTTCTTTTTCCCCATTCTTGTTCACTGAGTTCCACATTCCAGCCTTGTTTCCAAGCTCCACCATCAATGTTGTCAAACTTCAATTCCTTATAGACATCCAACATCTATCAGACAAAAAAAAATGTAAATTACACACAGGAATAGGGGAAAGAAATGTAAAGGAAGTTTTTGATATTCTGGGTATATTTAAAGTTTGATCTTTAGAAACCCTACAATCCAGAACTCCATCAGCATAAGACAAAAAGATTGATTCTGTGACAAATTATATTTTTGAGATAAGTCCAGTTCATCATAAAAGAAAAAAAGAATAACAACATAGCATTTCCACAGTACTGCATGACCCTCTCTTTTTATGATTATTTCACTTACTTGAATGTCTGTCCTAGGTACAGTTCTAAACTGACTGCTACAGGAAACATGCGATTCAGGTACGATGGTAGTAGTTGAGCTCACAGTAACAGTGTGATTTGAATGCTGCTGGTACTGATTTGGTATGGGTGAGTTACTGATTAGATGCTTGATGGTGTGCTTCAGTTTGCCAACAGTTTCATGGTGTCGATGAAGATCAACTTCTAATTGCTTTAAGCGGCCTTCAAACTGCACCCATTTGTTCTGCATCAAATGTTATGACATTGGTTAATGACATGTATTATATATTTTCATAAATACAACCTAATTCCATCCATTCCAATGCATAGTGAGACTCCACTTGGCTCCCAATATATACAATGTTTACGATCATTTAAAAATCCTGAACAAGAAATATTTATGTAATCCCCCCCCCCCAGGGTAACAATTTGAAAAGTAAAATAGAATGTTTTACTTTTATGACTCAGTGCTACTTCATACATCAGCATCTTCTGCCATCTCCTCCTAGCGAGCCCATCACAGGCATGTAATCCAGATCTTCTCAGCTTATAACGGGACTTTGAGAGTGCAGGTAAAAGTAGAAGACAGTACAAGTTTCAGGGGTGCATGACATTTCAAACTATTGCAAGCTCCTATAGTCTATTGAACTCATCTACTCACAATCTCGAGTCAAAAATGGAAGTTCTACAGTACAATGTTCAGTGTTCAGAGTCTAGCCATTTTCCACTCCATGTATACAGTTCTGATTACAGAATCCAGATTCCAGTCTCTGCTGTAAAGATTTCCATAAAATGCTATGCCCTGGTACACTGAATGCATATCTAAATCATAAACATTACCCATAACTCCTAATGTGATATATATACCCCTTGGATATAACACTATCACTATATGTACCTACATCATGAACATCAGATGGAAAAACTGCAAGATCCATCATCATATACAGAACAAGACAGCCACCCAGAATAAGTGCTGCCCCCACCAGGGCTGACATCTTACGCACCCGCATTGGGATTCCTTCTGCTGCTCAATCACATGAGTTCAACCTGAAATCTAACAATATTAACATTTCAATAGACTATATTTACATTTAGGTAATGGTTATGTAGATGTGTAGTCCTGTAAGTGGTTACCAACATTCTGGAGAAAACTGCTGCCTCCCCTTCCTCCTTCAACACAGAAGTTCCTCCTAAATGTTGGTGACCACTTACAAGATTACACTAGACTGTACAGCAGAAGACCACAATCTAAATGTTATGAATACTGAAGCCTCACAGTTATTACATTACACTGTATTAGTTTACCTTACATTATATTACAATACATTGCATTGCATTTCAATACATTACATTCTCTGGATCCATAGTTAGTCAAATTGACTGTAGGATGTGGAATATGTCATATAAATACAAAAACATATGTGTATGTACAGTACAACTGAAGTTTCCACAAAAGAAAACACAGTGGTTACATATGAGGCTATTCAAAAATACATCCACATATTTACATCAATACCATTAACTTATGCTATTTACACAACCTTTAAATGGATGAGTTATTTTGTGCAATAAGTACTCATCAACAAAGCAGAATGCACATATGTTTAGGTATCATTCTAGTGCTATTTTAAATCGTGCTTTCTCATTCATAAGACTTTAGAGATCAGATGGCAGATTATTGAATATTTTAATCCCAGCATATTATATTCTTGTCTGGGAGCATGAGAGGTTAAAAGCTGGTTTATGGAGATAGTGCTTGTCTCTTATGTTAACACTACATATATCTGCATTGGTCTGATAATGTTCATTAGTTGTATTGAAGTTTATTAATGAAAATATTTATTCACATGGAAGAGTTAAGAACTTTGATGTCTCAAATAGAGCTCTACAAGATTTATGGGATTTGACACCCATCATGAGTCTAATAATTTTCTTTTACAATCTTTACTGTTTGCATCCTGTTGTGTATCATGATTGGTAGTATTTGACCATCAACACAACAATAAAAATAAACCATTCAAACTGCTCACATTGGTTTTATTTGGTAATTGCTACATGTTTCCATCCACATTTGGGACCATTTTCAGGCAGTCTAATCGGATACGTCTCTTGTTATTGAGCTATCCTAATATGGACCCATAGTTCAATAACAAGAGACATATTTGATGAGAGTGCCTAAAGTTGGTCCCAAATGTGGACCGAAGCATGTAGCAGCTATCAAATTAAACCAGTGTGAGCAGTTCGATTGGTTTATTTTTACTGTTGTGTTGACAGTCAAATACCACCAGTTCCTCTGCAGTGTAAATACCTTTTTGCTGTCAAATGAATTACACCAGAAAATGATTCCACACTTCGTTAAGAGAGTGAAAGTTGGCAAAATAAATTGATTTGAGAGCGTCAATGTTACTGATATGCAACACAGATCTAACTGCATAACATACTCCACTTAGCTTCGGAACCAACTGATCGATATGGTTTTTCAAACTTAAATGGTTATGAATTTGCACACCAAGGAATTTTGCGTTTGCTGCCTCTTCTATATATTTATCATTATATACAATGCTTAATAAATACTTGAGTTTTTATTATAAATTTTATTACACATCTTTATCTAGATTCAGGGACAGCTTGTTTGCAGAAAACATTTATACATTTGAGGGAAAACTATGTTTGATAGTATGCAGAAATAAACTAAATTTTTACTAGAAATTATGCCACTAGTATCATCAGCAAATATTACGGGTTTTGATGAGGTGCTTAGTGTAGGAGGGAGGGTATTCATATAAAGTAGGAAAAGGAAAGGCCCTCAAACTGACCCCTGGGGAACTCCTAGTTCTAATCACTTGTAAACATATATTTCAAGAATAATTAACTTGTAGATTTTAATATTAGTAATGTTATAGGAATGCCTACTGCCTACACTGTATTTCTTTCTTACAGGAACGAGATCGAGGATACCAGGGTATTTTCTGCCGGGATAGAAGGATCGGGTCTTGAGGCATACAGCGGTGTCATGTGTTAAATAATTACTATATTAGTTCTATTATTAGAATCATCATTGTATTATCTTAGTATATTATTATATTCAATAGTAGAGTGAATTTACCGATTACACAACACGTTTTTATTATCACTACATGTTTCGACCTTAAGAGGTCATCTTCAGGTGTGTGAACATGGCTGTATAATTACACGCGGTGTTCATACACCTGAAGATAACCTCTTAAGGTCGAAACATGTAGTGATAATAAAAACGTGTTGTGTAGTCGGTAAATTCACTCTACTATTGATTAAACACACAACAGGATGCAAGAAACGATTAAAAAAATATTATTATATTATTCATTATATTATTATTAATTATTATTGTAAAGTATTTGACTTGTCCTATATCATGCATAATGATCCATGGATATGAAGTAAATAAATAAATATTGTTCCCCAGTTTGAGTAGGACCCCTGTACTAAATTTGATAATTTTATTTCAATCTCTTCTTTTCTAACCCAGGAGCTTTTGTGCCATTTAAGTGCAACGTCATTCACCACTCTTTCTTTGTACTGCTTTATTGGACAGTACATGTTTCAGCCTAACTGACGCATCTTCAGGCGTATAGGTTATTATGGTTAGAGATCCTGCTGCTCACTGTAAAAGGAAGAAAGAAAACCGCGTACAGTGAGCTGCAGAATCCTTAACCACAACAACATGCACATCTGAAGATGCGCCAAAATATGTAGTGTCCAATAAAAGAATATGAAGAAAGTACAGTGAAAGACATTACACTCTGATGGCAAACAAGTTCCTAAATCAGATCTATACAGTGCAACAGGATGCTGAAATGTAACATTTTGTTTTCTAATTGGTAGGTAGGATTTGAACCAATTTGCTGTTGCTCCTTGAATGCCAAAAAGAAGTAATTTAATTAAGAAAATGTCATAATTTATATAGTCAAAAGCTTCTGCCAAATCTCATAATAGTCCACCAACATGCATTTTTTGATTAATAGATTTTAATACACTGTCTGTTAGCTTACGAGCTGCATTTTCAGTAGATATTCCTTTCTTGAAACCAAACTGTTCTGGGACTAGTATATTATTAGTCTGCAAATAATGGCTTGACCTACTGTGCATAACTCTCTCAAGTACTTCAGAGACAGAAGTTAATAGCTACACTGGCTTGTAGTTTGACATACTAGTTTTGTCCTTTCTGTACAGAGGTCTTACTACTTCAAGCAATTCTGAGATTTTAACTGCTGCATACAGACCACAAAAGAGATCTTATCAAGAGTCACACAGACAAGTGAATAAATTTTTGACACTGAAGTGTCATATGTACAAAAAAAACTCATGAGAGCCCAAGAGTTTACATTTACATTTATGAATATTTATCATTTCATGCATCCAATCATCTCCCTGTAGGGCTGGATATAAAACATGTCACATATTACAAATTCATGATGCCTACACATCATTCTTCCTTGGTCCAATAAAATATAAAATCAAGCCTGAGACAGAAGAGCTCAAGTTGTCAGGACAACACACATAGGTCATTGAAAAACCACAATCAAATTCACCCCTTGCCATTCCACACACACTGGCAAGCCATATCATCCAAACAGTTACATTATAAAATATTAAAATTCATAACAAAAAACAGACATCATACATACTACTACACCTACAACAAGCAAGTCTCAACAATGTATAATTCCCACACACAGACCATTTATTAACTCTTAACTTTTGAGCCACTTACATGCTCGATGAATTCATCAATTGAGTAAAATGCGTTACTTTGCAAATAATTTTGTAAAACAGACTTAAATTGCTTTTTATCATTTCTTAAAACTGTGATATTTGATGGCAGAGTATTAAATAGCTTGACACCTGAATAATACAGCCCTCTCTGATAGGATGATAAATGTGTTGAAGGTATATGAAGGTGGTCATTCCTTCCAGTACCAATGACATATACAGAGTTATTGGTTTGAAAATTATCCAGATTATTAACAACAAATGTCATCAATGAGAGCAAATATACACATGGGATTGGCAGTATGTCAAACTTTTTAAATAGATCTCTACATGTATGAGTTGGGCCCACTCCCATCTTTATTCTTATTATTTTCTTTTGTATAACAAAGACCTTATGACTGTCTGATGTATTTCCCCAATATATTATTCCATATTTCACCAATGAATGATAATGTGCATAATATACAGCTTTAAGACTATTTATATTTAATACAGGATAATTTATGCATTAGAAAACCAGCTGTGCTCAACTTGTGAAGCAAAAAATCGATATGTCCCTTACAAGTTAGATGATTGTCCAGCTGTAAACTGAGAAATTTTATTGTTTCTACTTCCTTCAGCTTTTTGTTAAAATAGAATTTACATAGAGGGCAGCTCATAGCTGCTTTTGGGGTGTATTTTACCATTTTTGTTTTCTCCAGATTTAACACTAATTGATTATTTTGAAACCACGAAAACATATGATTGAAAACATCTAATTTCGTTTTTAAATTACAGTAGTCTTTAGCTGTGCAAAGAATACTTGTGTCATCTGCAAACATAATAACTTCCAAACTTTTACTTATTTCAAGGGGGAAATTGTTTATGAATATATTAAAGAGTAAGGGTCCCAACACCGATCCCTGAGGCACACCACATCCAACAATTTCCCAGTTAGAATAATATTTATTATTTATATAATTTAATTCCACTCTTTGCCTCCTATATTGGAGGTAAGATTTAAACCATTGCAATAATACACCCTGCACTCCATAGTATTGCAGTTTCATTAACAGAAGATCATGATTAACACAGTCAAAGGCCTTGGCTATGTCACAAAATATACCAGGTACATACTCTTTTCTATTCCAAGCTGTAAGTATTACATTGGTTAATTCAAACATTGCATCTTTGGTTGATAATCCCTTTTGGAATCCATACTGCTCTGAAAGTAATATTTTATGTTTTATGATACGATCATTGAGTCTTCTAAAAATTGCTGTTTCAAAAACTTTTGCAACCCCAGTTACTATAGATGTTGGCTTGTAGTTACTTATAACAGCCTTTTCCCCTTTTTTGTATACTGGCTTAATAATTGCATATTTTAATCTTTCTGGATATAGACCCATGGTTAATAACTTATTAATTACATAAGTTAGAGGTTTACTGATTTGTTGTCTGCACAGTTTTATAATTTTATTTGTTACACTATCATACCCTGAAGAGTTTCTTCATTTTAATTTGCTAATTATACTAACTGCCGGTCACGGTAGCCGAGCGATTTAAGGCATGTACTGTCTTCGCTCGCTTGGAAACCGGGATCGTGGGTTCGAATCCCACTCAGGGCATGGATGTTTAGTTTGTGTGTGTGCATTTTTCTGTGTTTGTGTACAGGTAGAGGCCTTGCAACGAGCTGATCACCCGCCCAAGGAGTCCTACCGAATATGTAAGATCTAGAAAAACCGAAGTGAACGGAGAAGTTCATGGAGGTAGGCCTAGGCCCACTGCGGCTGTAGTGCCAAGGGGGGGAAAAATATACTAATTATTTCATCTTCTGCAACTAAATTAAGACTCATATCTGGAATACTATTTGAGAAATGGGAATGCAAGTATGACACTGCAGTATAAATATTAGTTTTCTTAATATTATGATTTTCTGTTATTGTTGTGAAATATTTATTAAAATTATGAGCTGCTTCTTCAGTATTTATTTTTTTATTATTATTTTGAAAAGTCTGTGGTAGACATTCTTTATTCTGATTGTCAGTCCTATCTGTTTCAGTGTTGATAATGTTCCAGGTAGTTTTTATTTTGTTTTCAGCTGATGTGATTAATTGATTATAATACTTCCTTTTAGCTTCTCTTATTACTCTTCTTAATATCATGCAGTAGGATTTAGAGTATGATTCAAACAAATAGTTGTAACTGTTTTGAGAGAAAATGAAAAAGGATTTTTTTTACTGCTAGTGGGGAGGGACTAGGTCCCTTTTACTGCGGCCACTTCTGGCCTATTGTACCAGCCTCAGATGATAGGTGAGGGTGATTGTGGAGCAATTGGTGGAATGAAGATTGGCAGGGGAAACCAAAGTGCTCGGAGAAAACCTGCCCCAGTGCCACTTTGTCCACCATAAATCCCACTTGACCAGACCCGGCATCAAACCCTGGCCGCTGCGGTGGAAGGCCAGCGACTAACCGCTTGAGCTATGGCACGACCTCTTCAACAAGGATTCCTTCTGTCTACAGGATGTACATATACCAGCTGTTATCCAGCCTTGAGTTTGTTACATTTTGCTTTGGAAAGCATGACTCAAAGACAAGTAAATACTTATTTAAAATTGAGTTGAATACTTCGTTTACATCATTTAGTTTATATATATTTTCCCATTTTTCGTTAGATGGTTTATTAAAAAATTGAGCAACTGAGTCTTCATTTACTAATCTTCTTGTGATTCCCTGGACTTTTTTCTTCTCCAGGCAACCGATATTTTTTAGTACGGGACACTGAGCATCATGATCAGATAGTCCATTACTAATAGTGATTACTTAGTATGAATTTATCCTTGCCTTATCTATAAAAATATTATCAATAGCAGAGCTTTTGGTCACAGTTATTCTTGTTGGGAACTGTACTGTATGAAATATATTATATGACTGCAACAGCACTAATAGCTGTTTTTTATGAGTTAACTCTTCTAAAAAACTTACATTAAAATCACCACATAATATAAATTCAAGAGTGGAGCTTGGTCTAGGACACTTATGCATATGAAGTATACACCACATCAATTCAACAAATGCTTGCCTTTTCAAGCCTCAGGAAACAAAACTTAATGAACGGAGATGAATGACATTCAATATCACGTGGCTTTAAAAGACAGCTACACTTAAGTACAAAGTTCCACAAACATGATTTAAACCATACAAACTCCGTCCCAAGTGCAAACAATATATTATATGTCTCTGATCTTGCTCTCTTCTACACTACATGTTTCGGCCTCTAACGGCCATCATCAGCTGTATACTCTTACGTTGCTGCCACACTGAACCCAGTCTAAAATTTAACATTTAAAAAACACACTGTTATTTTCTTCGTTATTATCAACATCTACCTCGTTGATATCTGTCTGGTATGTAGATTATTTTGCACACGTCAATTTTTAATTTTCCTGTAATAGCACTATAAAATCTTTAGTTATAATTTTAAAATCCTTTAAAATTTTCTCTAAATTTTAAATTTAAAATATAAAATTGTTAGGGTTACTCGCCCTATGTCTAAAGTGCTGCAGCGGCTAGTTCTTGTTTCCACACTGTACAGGTGTTATTCTGTGTAGTCTTCCTGTGTGCGTGCCGCTGCTTGTCTTTACTACGTGTGGGCCGGAGTTTGTATCATTTATCGTGTAGAGTGCAACAGGATGCTTAAATATAATAATGATTTAAACCGTTTGGTACTTGTTAGGAGATACAGCATTGCTCTTCAATTATGAACTGCAGGGGAAGAGATACTTCACCTGCACACATTTACACATTGCTTATGGAATGTAAACCCACATGATATCAAAAACATAATTACATCTTCAAAGATATTTCATTAACACCAAGACTTTGCAAGGGTCTTGACCCTAAGTCAACGTGGGAAAAACATGATCTTCAGTACGTATACAAGCTCTACACACTCGAGAACCTCAAGAATGTAAACCCATTTAAATCTTCTCACCAAGTCATTTTAAATGATGACAAATTCCAAGATGGATATGTACATAACATAAATTTCTATGGCAACCGACTTACGGACTCGAAGAAAATTAAATCGGACAAGTCCAATAGCCTGACAAAAAAAAATTCAATAACCTAAACCGCACACAGCTTCGTTAAACCTTACTTCAGCACACACACACACACACATACATCCTTTGGCTTCTTTGGTGTTTACAATTCGAACAACCATGGCCATGGACGTTTACGACATGAGTTTCCAACAAACTTAAATTTTAGTGAATACTACCATTGGTCAAGACCGGTCATGACCGGCACGACGGGCAAACGGTCCAGGCGAACTTTACAGGTCAACTCTCATACCCAATGAACCGCTGGGAATATTCTTTTCTGTAACGTTGGCATGTTAGTTGTATATAGTTGGAAAGGTCGGAAATAGTGTGTGAGCATGGTTTTGCGAGTTATGATACTGATATTTAAGGTTTCTGTTGAAGGAGGTTAAGTGATTTCGACACGTGTGTAATAACGCTTAGAATAGAATAGACCAAAGTAGACTATTACTTCTAAGGTTGTGCTCTCATGTCTAGTCTGGTGAACAACGTTTGGATGGTGGATAAAATATCTGAAGCCGGGATTTTCGTATGAAATGAATCCAACCTTGTTTTTAACTGTAGCAGATTGATTTGATGTGTTTGCTTACTCGGCTTACATATCTCAATAATGAACTTCATAGAAGACGGTGAAAATAAATCACACATATTTTAGTTATAAAGCTCGAAGATTGTATATCATGTTGCGGACCACTGTCGGTTTATTATATTCTAATTCAGTCCTATCAAGAATCTTGCCCCAACAGGCGAGGCAAATAAGACGTGTTAACTTAACGTCGCTTCAATGGATGTCTTCAAAAGGTAATTATAAGTGAAACATTTTATAATACAGTGACCAAAATTTTTATTTTAGTGCCTGAGGATGATTGATTGATTGATTGATTTATTTCGTCACTGTAGATCATTGTACATGATATATGACAAGTCAGGTTAATTCTGAATATTAACAATTTGATATATAAGTAGATTAAAATTACAATAGTTACAATTTTTTACATTCTTTTACAATTTTTTACATTCTTATGTAAAGAATTCTTATTCTTATGATGTTATATATTGCCAGATTTGTTGTACATTGTTTTTATTTATTCTGAGAACATATCTTATATTGTTGTCACTGAATTCACACGCTTTTTAGAAATAAGTTTACAAAGGTATGTTGAAATTTTAATAGAAATATATGTATATGCTGTAACTCAGTACAATTTCAGAGCTTAAAAGTAAACAATGTGATTATCTTAAAACAAAACTGCCTGGGCACTGTTATGTAAAGTTGTGTCATAATTTTCTGCTGTCTTTATCTCATGCACTGGAATGCTAGATGAAAATGCAGCTTAGTTTGAACAGCATATAATTCTGAACTACTGTTTTCTACATATATTTAGGAAACTTAAGGACAGAATAACTGCTTGTGTCTAGCAGCTGTATTTAAATAACCATGTACAAATTTAATTCATAAAATTATAAAAGCAAAAGAATAATTCATGTACATGAAGTAGTTCTGTACTAATGTTTATATATATATTTGTTTTATGTAATATTTTTCAGATATTATGGACCCTTCAGCATCAAACACACAAGATTTCTTGTTACAGGATATAAAATCCTCAAGAGACACTACACAAGTTCTGAAGATTGTAGGCATCCATCACAAAATCATGAACAACAGACATGTAATGCAGTCACTTAAGTGTCTTTTTGAATTGAAGAAGTCAGGAAAGTTAGTATTAAATTGGCTGTGTTAAAAATTGTTGTAGGGAAGACAGGTTGGATAGATAGGGATTAACTGTCAAAATTTTGTATGCTGTAGTTGATAGCCAGATAATAATGAACATACCATAGTAGTAACTGAAAGAGGTAAATGAGATAGACTTTGGACACTCTTGAGACACCCATGATTCACTCTTACTGTTTAGGTTTACGTGCATTGGCATTTGATGGATTTGACCTGATATGAACATTTCATGATAAATAATCATGTGTTCTGTCCAGACACAGATTTGAATGTTCTGTTACACAGAAAACATTAACATAGTGGTCTAATGCAGTAACAGATAAAGGACATAGCTTTAGTCAGTATATACACATGTTTGATCTCTGTTCATTCACTTGAAGTATGCTACCACACAAATTTAAGAATTACCAACAGAGGCTGGTTTCAGGTTAGTGTAATAATGTCAGATGAGATCTTGTTATTAAATCAAAATACTGGAGCATGTTCATTAATTCCTTCATCAGTAATCTGTCAAGATGACAGGTCCACAGTCTCTTCCAAAACAGTTCCTCCACTTGATGCGATCTAGAGCTTTCTCTTTCAAATGAGAATATCCTCTTCTGTCCCCAAGGTCATCCAGCATCTTCTTACATCTTCCTCCTCCTCTTCTGGTCACTTCTATCGACCCCTCTATCTTTCCTTCAATAACTTCTTTTAGAAGGCAGTTACCGAGTAAGATATGACCAATCCAATTAGTTTTCCGTTTTCTTATTTTGTGTAAGATATTCCTCCGCTCACTCACTCTAAGTAACACTTCTTCATTTCTCACATAATCAGTCCAACTGATCTTCTCCATCCTTCTCCAACACCACATTTCAAAGCTTTCCAGGTGTTTCTGATCTACTGCCCTAAGTGTCCAAGTTTCAGCCCCATACAAAGCCATGCTCCAAATGTATAGTTTCGTTCTCAAATTTAAGTCCAATTTGCTGGTAAAAAGATTCTTCTTCTTGCTAAATGCAGCTTTTGCCATGGCAATCCTAGATTTAATTTCACGCGTAAACCTTCCATCATCTGTTAACAAGCTACCCAAATATTT